ATCGTTATCAGCTAAATACCACAATTAATCGTGATTAATTTTTTTGCCAATATCGCCCAACCTTATGCTATACAGACAAACACATACATGGAGACATCATTTGGCAGCAAGTGAGAAATAAGCCTCCTGCAAGCTCTGACAGTGGTTCCCAAACTGGGGGGCACAGGAGAGCACARGGGGCCCATTACCTCATCTGCTCAGAGGTYGTGAAAATCTAAATTTATKRMTTGTAATTGAAACTCTATATAACTCAAAAAATAAAAGGTTTCTATTCTATTTGTTCTTTTGTTATTTTGATWAGAGATAAAAAGTTTGAAAGCATCTTTAGGAGAGTAACAAGGGATAGAGGTGGGGGGCTCAGCTTGGCTTAAAAGTTAGAAATGGGGGCTTTAATATTTGTTCAATAGAAATATATAAGAATTTAAAGAATTTTAACACAAACTCCATTCTTTTTTGAGGACAAAAAAAAAGGAAAGTATCCTTCATTTCTCAACCCAGACTTTGTCTTTTTTTGACATCATAACTCCAAGTGAAGTCATGTTTTTCTTCTGATTATTACTAAAAATAGCTTGGATGACRTCATGATGATATGCAGAAACATGGAGCAGCTAAGGCAAGATGACTCGTCCACATGCTCCAGAGCTGGGTGGGCATGAGAACGGAATGAGGTTGCAGGTGGAATTTCCCCTCGTCTCTCCTTACTCTCTGATGTCACATTCAGTCACAGCGGCTCACTGCTGCTTGCTGCCAAGCAATCGAACATATCTGATGAGCTGACAGTCAGGTGTGAGGAGCCGGCGTTGGTTAGTTAAACAGCAGGGCACGGTTAAGGAACTTCAGAGAACAGAACTTCCCCCTGCAAGCTCTTAACAGAAACCAGGCCAATTGGGGGGATGTTTGTTTTAAAGCATAAAAAGGGGAAGTTCAAGAGTTTTATTTCTCTTTTCACAAGTCAGTTCCTGTCTTTCTGCAAATCATCTGAGGTTTCAGCCCTCGCACATGGCTGTTTAGTCAAAGCATATGAACATTGCCATCTTGTGGTTATTTCCAAATGCTACTAATTTACACAGAATATTATATAAAGATGATGGCATCAGAAAATGGAAGTSATTACACATTTAAAGCCTGAAAAGCAAAGCTTAAACTGAATGGATTTGTGCAGACAAAAGCCAGAAGTCAGGGTCGGCCCTAAACAATTTGGAGCCCTAGGCAAGATTTCTAGTGGTGCCCCTTGTGCAGTTTTCTAAATCTCACTGCGAATTAAACATTCACACACCAAATTTAGTTGTTTTTTTTATATTATTTTATATTTAGAAACGAGGTTGTCCAATTAAAGTTGATAACATACAATTAATTGGAAACAGAATACCAAAAGACCACCTCACCTGTTCGTGTTAACAAGCAGCTGTGGAGTGAAGCAGTTCTAGGGGGGTCCAGGGGTACACTCCATCATAAAATTTTGTAAATGATCTACTCAAAACTGCATTTTTCAGCCATTTGAAGAACATTTTACTAAATTATTGGGATTAATAAAACAACATAAAATCAGTATTTTATTAAGGCAGAACACTGTAAACCAGACTTTAAGCTGAACTTTATCTGAGATCATAACTGAAACTTCAGTTATCCTTATTGTTTTCTTTTTACACACTGGGCATCACTTGTTAGTAGTTTATCACAAAATATCCTCTGCATCATATAACACCTCATGTAGTAATAAAGCAGGCCGAGAAAYCMACAGAACAAGTTACCAACATAAACCTGAGTAACCAGTGATTATTTCACAGACTAAAATCAACATTTTGTCCCTCATTTATGGTGACCCCCTAGATGGACGGTGCCCTTAGCATTTGCCTATRCTGCCTATGCCATGGACTGGCCCTGCCAAAAGTCAAAATTAAGTATAAACACTCATTTCACTGAGTGCATGAACAGGAAAGCTGACTTGTTTTTAAAGATTACCACACATGCCAAGTATCAAAAGGGAAAAAAAAGAAGCTGTAATAATCCCTGTGTCTTGCAAAGCTTCTCTGAAAGCTTTTGTGAAACTGGAGTGCTGCTTTCTACAAAGGATAAAAGCCTAGTTCTTCTTTTTGTAAAGCCAAATCAATATCAAGGCCCATTAACGGAGGCAAGCACATCTTCAGATAGATGGAGGTATCTAATATCTGAGGAGCCCTTCAACCACAGAAATAAAAAAGTGGGGGGGAAGAAGAACCACAGCTCCTCTGCAGCCGTCCATGGTCATCATCTCACCCCTCAGCTGTTCTAACTGCTGAGGATGACAGATGGTCACAGGACAAGGAGCGGGAACTGCTCCAGCCTGAACGCATACAAAAGCCTTGAATCAGCGTTTGCTCATTTCAAGATATCAAAGCAGAAAGGAGGCTGATATGTGGGAGGGGAGCACAGCAAAATGTTCCTAAAACAAAACAAGCAAGATGACTCCACTTTAGAGTGTACTTGGAAAGTTTTGCTCTGGATAACTGTTTTCCGTGGACTTAAGTTTCCAATTATCCACCAGCTTGTGTCAGTGTTCCCACCACGGGACGACTTCAGACGAATGGGAGGGTCTGTTTAGGGTTGGTGGGTCTAGCCGGTCCTCTCTCTAGTGGGACTGACGAACGAACATCTTGCAATTCTCCCCTCTCCGTCACCTCCGCCCGCTCTGAAGAGAGCGACTGTGGCTGACCAATGAGGCCGTGTTTGTCCGTCCCAGGATACAAGCATCTCAGCCCCAAAAATGTAAACATCTGGCAAACATTTAGACTCCCCACAGATTAGGGTGGACAAGCAGCCTTAAAACTACAGCCCCGTAAATCACTGCAGGCTTATAGCTGTAGAAATCATCAAACACTCATTTATACTGGTCCTCAGCAAGAGCCAARTAAATCCATGATACTCATTCTCTCACATTTTCTAGTCAATATTTTCAGCCAAAGGCCTTTTATTGGAATGAGCAGCACATTGTGTCATCCTACAACTGCCTTTTTTTTTTTCCTTTTTCTTTAATTCTATGAAAAATCAAGAATATATATAATCAGGTTGACCTTAACGTGATTGTTTACACCATGAGTCATATAATAGTCATTTGTAGGGAAAGGTACAAGATGTACAAGGTTGTATATTGCTTGGAGATTATTTCTAGTAGGAAAAAAAAAGAAAACTGAACCTGGGGTCAACATGACATTTTTCACATACTCTTAAAATGACAGCGATATTCTTCTTGTAACTATTATAAACTATTATATAAACTATTGCACTGTTTTTGTGTGTGTGTGTTTTCTTTTTTTGTTTGTTTTTTCTCCATTCTCTTAATATCAGTCACATGCCAGCTAAATAGYACAAAGGGGGAGACAGTGGTGGTTGGATTTCAGTCATATTTCTAAATTAGGRTAAACTTTTTGGGTGTTTAAGTGGATTCTAAAGGCATCTGATGTAACATGTTCCACTTTTCAGGTCCCAAGTCTTAACATTTCACCTAAAAATCATATTAAAATGGGGAAAAAATGTACTATCCAAACAAAAATTAAAACAAACAGATATGAAGCAGTGAAAGTGAACTTACCCTGGTGGAAGTTGTCATCAGTGAAGCATGTTCGGTGGTTTTACTGACATTTTTTGGTGAAACCAGGCGACGTTACCACACATAATGGTCCCTCGGTGTGTTTGGGGAGTTGGGAGGCTGCTGTAACGGTGCTAAAAAAGCTACATCATCTCACAAACCGTCACATTTACCCTCCTGCCGCAGCTTTAATCGTCTGCTTCCTGACACAAGGTCGCAGTTTTCTCCCACAGAGGCTGCTGACGCGTGGGGAATTCCTGGCAGTCACATTTTCCTGGGAAATAAGAACCGGGCCAAAGTTTGGTGGTATACAACCCCGGTAAGATGTCGAAGACTCAGCGGCAGGCTTTCACAGCTGACGGATCAAAATCCATCGCGGTAACAACACGGTGAACTAAAAGTTGCAATCCCTGACTTTTGCGTAACACAAAAATAAATTAGACGCAACTCTGTCCAGACGTTAAACAAACTTTTTTGTGGTTGTTACTCACTCACAGGTGCACCTTGAAATGCTGGCTCAATACCTCTTTTTTGTTGTTGTTGTTTTTGGCGATAATAAGTTGCAGACCAAAAAAAAATGTTGTGTTGTGTAAGCACGTTTCGCCTGCACTAACTATCCTGACTCAGACACGCACTGGGAGATTCTGGTGTAATGGGCATCTTCCGGGAACGTTCAGCCTCTTTTGAGATGTGACAGTAAACTCCTCCACGGGCGGGGTCTGTTATGTATTCCATGGAAAACATCAAAATGCCTTCTATCTAAAGCCCAAATTGCAGGCAATGGTAACGTCTTGTTATTGAAAAGTCACAGAATTCCCCTATAATAAAACAAGAGATGCAAAARCTAGTTCCCATACCGGGAGTCGAACCCGGGCCGCCTGGGTGAAAACCAGGAATCCTAACCGCTAGACCATATGGGAGTGACATACGTCATCCCTCACGATCAAAATTGGCCAATATATTACCGGTTTGTGATGTCCTGTTTTTGTTTCTAGTTATTATGTTGTTCGTTAATTTTTTTTTTTTTAGACGTATTATACAAATAAGCAATGTCCGACTTGCGTTGGTTTTCTTTAACAATCGAAATCTAGAGCCTGTGCACCCTCTTGTGGCAAGTGATGGTATTGCTGGAATTGGTACCAGAAAGTACTTTGTGTAAGAACAGTTTCGTTGTTTGACTACATGGAAAATAATAGTAATAGTAATATAAATCTGTCAAATATATAACAAAAACTATAGGTTTTACAGGCACCAAAAGGCATAGCCATTATTTGGCACAGGGGCTTTACAGATATAAATTACAATGGCAGCTCTAGGACAAAAGTATGCAGGAGGAGAAGCATGGCAAAGTTGAGATGACTTGGACTACTATGCATGTGTGTCAAGGACAGAAAGGCAGATGTGGCAGTGGAAGGTGTCAAAGCAGTTTGGAGAGAAAAACAAAGTAAAGGACAACAAAAAAAGAAAATGATTAATCGATTATTAAATTAGTCATCGATAATTTTAATAATCGATTAGTCGTCGATTAATCGATTAATCGTGGCAGCCCTAATATATATATATATACCACTACTGTGCATGCGTGTCAAGGACAGAAA